GAGAAAACACCCCACCCCCCCCCCTCACCCCCAAAAACAAGCCCCCCCCCCCCCCTGCCACAGGGATACCCCCGGGCCGGGTGACCCTTGCCCATCCCACCCTCCCTCCCCAGCATCCCACCCCAGCTGGGCACTAGCAATTGGGGGGAGGGAATCCTTCCTTAACAGCCCCCCCACCCAGGGCAGGGAGGGGCAGAGGAGCCCCCCAGCAGGGAGGGATGCACCCACCCAAGACCATCCCCACCGCTCTTACCTCTCCCAGGGGGATGAAGGCGCTGGGGCCCTTCCCCAGCTGCTGGGGGACCTTGACCCCTCTGTCCTAGGAAGGAAAAAGCAGCGGCTTTAGCCCGGCACCAGGAACCACCGAGCATCCCCGGGACGAGCAACTTCCACCGGCCGCGGGGCGAGCCGCGGCGGCACCGGAAAGGGTGACTCAAGCAGCCACCCGGCACGGGCCACGGGGACACGCAGCCATCGCCCCCGCGCCCTTGCGTCAGGCTGGGCAGCGCCTGATGAAATAGGGCAGGGGTGTTACTCCGCACACCGGGGAGGTGTGACACACGGGGACAGCGTCAGGACACCAGAGCCGCGGTATCGCAGGCCAGGAGAGCGGAGACACTCCTCGCTCCCAGGTCTCGGTTTACCACCTCCATGGGAACACACAAGGGAAACTGGAGCCCGGGGGTCCCGCGGGACGGCGGTGGGTCCCGGGAGCAGCACGGCTCTGGCCATGGCCCTGGCTGCAGCCGGGCGCTGCAGTTTGCAATCACCAGCATAAATACGGCGCACGGGGTTCCCGCTAACCCCCACGGTCACAAAATGCCGATAAACACCTCCACACCCCCCCAAATCCATTAACGCAGTTAAGACCGAAACAAGCCACCCGGTTACAGGTTAGCTGCTGCTCTCTGCACTCCAGGCACAGGCTTCAGCTCCTTTCTGCCCCCCCCCCCTCCAGCTCCCCAGGGAAGAGCAAGTGTTTCCATGCTATATTTTCTCCAAGCAGATATTTTTCTCCTCTCTGCTGGCGCGTGGGGGCCGGCTGCACCCAACCAGGGTGCCCACGGGGACAGTGACGGGGACGCCAGCAGCAGGAGCCCCCGTCCAGAGCACAACGGGACCAGGACCCTCCCAGCCCTCCTGCTGCAGGGGTGGCTCGGTGCCCATGGGAACCCCCCAGCCAGCCCTGGAGCCGAAACACAGGGGTGCAGCAAGAGCCTGAATCCACCCCCGTCCCGCTTTTGCACCGCAACGTCCCACCAGATTGCAAGTTGGCAGTGGTGCAGGGGAAATTTCTCTGCCTGCATCACAGCAGCACCCACAGGCGCCAACCGCAGACCCGGGGGGGATGCAGCACCCAGCCCCGAGAGCTAAAATAGTCCCCCCAAAACACCCACGGAGAACCCAGAACCTGGTTCGGGGCTGGGAGAAGAGAGGGTGGAAAAGGGTTCAAGTGCTCCCAGCCCTGGAAAGGAGGTGAGGGGGAAGGGGGGCTGGCGTGCGGTCCCCTCAAATACAGGGGGGACACGGCGCTTGCTTGGAACCAGGACCGAGACGGGGCAGTGGCAGCAGAAAGGGCATTTGGCAGACGAACGCCTGCAGCATCGCTTCCTCCAACCCACGCTCCGGATACAGGTGCTGGCGGCGGCACCCGCTGCCTGCCGCAGAGGAGGTGCTCAGGGCCCCCGCTCTGGGTGGGGAAGCACCAGCCTCCTCTTCCCATTCCCTGCAGAAATCCCCCGGGGTCCCTCCGCCAGCAGAAGCCGGGGTGGCACCGCGAGGCTGCGACCTGTCCCCGAGCACAGGTTGCGCTCGGTCACCTCCGTCGGGACTTTTGAACGGGATCCCAGCACCAACCGTGCAGGCAGGATGCGAGCCCGGGGTCCGGATCTGCCCGCCCAGGGAGCGGGCAGGGACTCAGCCCCCCCCGGGATGCCCGCAATCACCCTGCTCTATCCCATGGCACACGTCCCCTGTGCAAACCCAGCGGGGAGCGGTGGTGCCACGGAGAACCGGAGGCGGCAGCAGCCGTGCCCGTGGTATCGGACACGGCAAAGCTCCCGCGGCCCACCTGGAGGGATGCCTCGGCCGGCGGAGACCTGCACCCTGCTTTGCTCCGGGCGCAGGGAGACACGCACAGGACAAGCAACGGCCACCGGTCACCCCCGCTTGCACTGCTGGGGGGACAGAGGGAGCCGGGCACCTCAACCCAGCGGCTGGGGGCGAAGGCAGCGCCAGCCCAGCCAAAGCCACAAGGCACGCCTGGCCCCCCGCCAGCCCCCCGGACCCAAAATAAACGGCTCAGCCCCAGCAGGGAGAGCAGGGTGCTGCCCGCACACTCTTCACGATTGGAAGCGGGCAACCTTGCTCCCGCAGCACCCAGTTACCGGGTGAACCGACCGAAGCAGGAGCTGCACTGGGGACCGTCTGCAAGGCTGCTGCTCCCGCAGGACCCGCGGCTCTTGCTGTCCTGCTGGGGGGGGAGGCAAAGGCATGGCCCTCATTTTACTGCACTCCTCCCCCCCGCGGCTCAGCCAGGCAGATGCTCCCCCCATCCCATCAGCCACACTGCACCAAGGCAATTCCCAGCGACCCCCTTTCTCCCTTCCCCACATCACCTCCCTCCACCCACGGCTGTCGAAGGCTCCCCCGGGGTGGGCAGGGCACGGCCACCCCCGCACGCCCATCCCGCGGCTGGGGGAGGCGTGGGAAACCCACGGCACCAATGCAGAGAAAAAGCAAGCACAGCACCCAGCAGCGTTTTCCAAGAGCCTTCCAAAACCAACGGCGCAATCGGACGCACACCTTCCAGCCCATTAGTGACAGGGAAGCTCAAAGGGCAGCTCTGCCCCCAAACCTGCTCTCCCCCCCCGTGCTCAGCATCCAGCATCACACCCAGCACCGCGCTCCCGGCCTCCTGCAACCGTGCAGAAGAGAGCGAGGTGGCAGCGAGGGTCCAGCTGCCGGGATTCACCTGTGGGAGACGGGACATGTCACAGGGGGACGGTGGCAGCAGGAGGAGGGTGCCCGGACACACGCAACCGAGAGTGCCGACAGCAGGGTGGCACGTCCCACTCTCCAGCCGTGGAGCAACGGGGCAGGGAGCCGCTTCTCCCAGGGGTCTTTTCCGCGGTGCCCTGTGAAGGGATGAGCCCCGGGGCTGCCGCCTGGCTTCACCGGGAGAGATACCCGAGAGCTGGAGCCAGGCACAGCCCAAGTGATCGCAGGTGTCTTCTCCTGCCGGCTGCCTCCAAACCACTACCGAGGCAGCGAGCGCAGCCTGACACCCTCTCCCAAGCGGGGAAGGGGTGTGGGATGGCATGAGGTGACCACGCAGCAGCTGTCAGCGCAGCCACGCGCTCCCCACGTGTTGGGCAGCGGGTCATGGCGGGCTGTGGGCTCTTGCCAGCATCGGGCTGCAACCACCCCAGCAAAGCGAGCAGCGCCCGCATCCGCACGCTCCGATGGCTCCAGGATGCTCCTGCCCTGAGTCACCACGGAAGTGAGACTGGGGTGACAGCGGGAGCAGGCTCGTGCCATCGCTGCTCCGGGTGCTGAGCTGGCTCTGCACTGACTCACGGTTTGGGGAGAAAGAGCTTCGTCAGTGCTCCAAGAGGCTCCCCAGGAGGGGACGGCAACGGAGAGACCCCGGCAGGCAAATCCACGGGACGCAGACGGCAGGAATTCCGACCCCGAAGGCAGCGAGGAGCCAGGGAGCTCAACCCAGCCCACCCCGCCACTTTTTCGGTGACAGCTCAGGGTGACCTTTGAAGGTGCATTTTAATCATCCCTAGGCAGAGGCTCGTTATGTTTTGCTGCATTAAGCAATCCTCAGGGGCGCTGCAGTTAACCCCCGCCGTGCCACCTTCCGGTAGCGCCTCACCTCCTGCTTCTGCTGATGGGGAAACTGAGGCACGGAGGCGATGCTCCGACCCGCACCAGCCTCGCAACTTGCTCCCAGGCTCCAGCCAGCACAGGGGCAGGCGGAGGGTCTCATCAGAGACACCGGGGGAAGGAGTTAATCCCCCGGGAGCGGGAAGATGGGTGTGCCAAGCAGCAACCCCCCCAGAACTGGTGCCAGTGCTTAGTCAGGTGTTGGAAAATCATTCCCGATAAAGCAAGGTTAAACAAACACCATTGCAGCCGCCTGGCAGAGCAGGTTTGCCCCTCGTAACCGTGCTCCTGCCAAAAAACAGGCAGGAGGCTGTCCCCGGGCCGTACTGGGGGGTGGGGGGGGTGGGGTGAGAGCAGTGCCAGGGCTCGGCCCCACTGACGTGTGGAGCTGACGCGCGAGCGCAACCCCCTTGGCACGAGCTGCCCCCCGAGCCCGACCTGCTGCCAGAAAGCAA